CTTAATTGTTTGCGTAAAAAAACAAGTTGAGAGTTAAGTTACGTCTGATGTTAATAATATATCCATTTTTTTAAATAATATAGAAATTTCTAAAACTTTTAGTCTAAAATAATATAACCCAACCCAAATTTATCTTGAATCATTGGGTTTACCGGTTTAACTGTAAAACATGGTCGGGTTTCGAAACACTGGTCTTAACCTTTATTTTATAGGTTATGTCAAAATCAAACTTAATTTTGGTATTTACTTTGCAAGCACGGAATATTTTATGATAAAAAAATTCATTAATAACTTAACAAATATTTTGGTGATTTAAAAAAGTATGTATTTAAAATGTTTCTGTATTTAAATCATTATTTTTAAATTAAGTTCGAACCGTGGTTAAACCGGATAATCGGTGATCTAATAGTTCAATTTGGACAAAAATATCCATATTCAAAAAATTTACTAAAACCCGAGACTAACCAATTGAACCATGGATAACTGATATGTAATATTTAAACAAGTAAAAATAAGTTTAATTATTTTCGTTGTTTTGTATATTATTTGAATTTGAAATTATTTATTTTATATAAATAATTTGAAAGAAAATTGTGAGAAAGTATTAAAAAGAGTAATATCTAATATTTTGTATTATTTAGACATAAGAATAGTTACAGTGTTGTTTGGAAACATGGATAGTACTATAAAGAATGAGTATATTGTTTGGAAACATGAATATTAGTATATAAAAATTAGTATATTGTTTGGAAATAATAATAGTCTTATAAAGAAAGAAATATTAGGGATTTAATGTAAATTTAATTATAAAGTAAAAAAAAAAAATATTTAATTTAAAAATACAAAATAAAAGTTAGGTCTAATCCAATATTTCTGATTTAATAAGATTGGATGTATGCAGAAGAAAGCTTGATTGTCATCTTAACATTTTTACTTTGTGCTTTCCACATTTTATGTAGTTCTGCAAAAATGATCTGCACCCAATAGCAACATCAACTCTGCCATAAGTGATACATGGAAAAACTATCCTTCCATTTAAATTGATAGTAGGATAAAGAAAGAAAAGTGGTTAACGGCAAATTTACCTCCACTTAATTAGTGACAGTTGGTAAGTGATCGTATAAATTAATTTTACTCATAGATAAAAGGAAACAACGAGTAGAATAGTTTCAATTTTTATTTTAATAGTAACGTCCATGTATTTCCTTAAATAAAACAATAAAAGTAATTAATTTATTAATTACTAGTTGATATGATTTGTCACTAGTTTATTTATGATAGCAATAATCTATTACAGTTTTATGTTTATTTTTAGTTTATTATAAATATAAAGTTTACAAAAACAAATACATATTACAAAAATAAGATAAGTTTTATAGATATTGTGTTGTTATCTGAAAATAATATTATTTTATTACAAAAATAAATATAAATGTAATAAAATTTAAAATTAATTAATCAATTACATTTTTATAATGATATTTTCTCAAATATTTCTAATATGTAGGTTTTTAGTTCAAATTTCAACCCAAAATATGTGGGCATAATATATATTTTGATTAAAAAATAGCATATATAAATAATTTTATTTAAATTTTTTGAGAAAATAAATAATATATTTTTTTGAGAAAACATAAATAATAGTTTATTATGTTGAGTTATATCCGTAAAAAGATTATGCCCGCAAGTCGGGCACAACACCTAGGTAGTTTGCCCGCATTTGCGGGCTTAATAATTTTACTAATATCTATAAATAAATATATAATCAATTTATGTAAATTATAATAAATTATTGTTCATAGACTCAAAATATTTAATCAAAAACTAAACATATTCTTTCTATATATAAAATTTTTCATCATCATATAAATAATTTTCATTACACAACTTATATTTGAAAATACTCATAAGCTTAAAATATTTAGTAATAAATTAATATCATTTTTAGACATAACAAAAATATATATAAAAAATTATCTTTAATAATGTTTTGGATAACACAATATAAATTATATATACATAAATTCTTTGTGAATTGATTTTTCAATGTTAATAAAGACTTTATAATACAATATAAAAAAAGTTCGATAAGGATAATTATCAAATTCATGACATTCATTTTTTAATTTAGAATTATTTATATATTAATAAATATAATTATTTTTCAAGGTTGATAAAGATTTTATCACATAATATAAAAAAATTAAGATAAGGATAATTATCAAATAAATAAAATTCGTTTTTAATTTATAATTAATTATATATGAACCAATATAATTATTTTTCAAGGTTAATATAGACTTTATAACCCAATATAAAAGAGGTTTAGATAAAGATAAATTTAAAATCATTGAAATTCATTTTTCTTAGATTTGATTTTCTTTTTATAAATTTATTATATTAATTATTCTCAGTTATCTAAGATAATAACTAACTAATCTAATTTTATTTTTTAAATTTCGTTTTTAATTATAAAATTAGTTATATATAAAAAATTCATTAAGGGTAAAATTGATTATATATTAATAAATATAATTCTTTTTCAAGGTTGATAAAGACTTTATCACATAATATAAAAAATTTAAAATAAGAATAGTTATCAAATAAATAAAATTCGTTTTAATTTATAATTAATTATATATTAACCAATATAATTATTTTTCAAGGTTAATATAGACTTTATAACCCAATATAAAAGAGTTTTAGATAAAGATAAATCTAAAATCATTGAAATTCGTTTTTCTTAGATTTGTTTTTTTTTATAAATTTATTATATTAATTATTATTTATTATCTAAGATAATAACATACTAATCTAATTTTATTTTTTAAATTTCGTTTTTAATCATAAAATTAGTTATATATAAAAATTTCATTAAGGGTAAAATAGATATTAACCGCGTCAACTTTTATGTGGGAGCTCCGTTCCGAAAAATCACTTCGCAAATAATAGTATAGATTTCGTTTTTAATCATAAAATTAGTTATATATAAAAAATTCATTAAGGGTAAAATAGATATTAACCGCTCCAACTTTTAACGTGAAAATTTCGTTGCGAAAAATCACTTCGCAAATAATAGTATAGATATGAAAACAAGAAAAATGAAACGAGTCCAATTATGTCTTGATGGACTTTTCTGGATATATAGTGCAATAGTTTGGTTTATAGCATTTCCAAATATATTATTTTATTTTAATTGTTTATCAAAAAATAACATCTCACTCCCATTTAAACTAACTTGATTATTTTACTCTACTATATCTCTATAATATTATTTGAGAAGTCACTTTCTTATGTGTCGCGCTCATGTTAACTTTCACGATGGCTGATTACTATGATACCCCTAATGAATTAAAATATATATTTAAATATTATTATTTCCTTTTCAAAATTTTCCAAATAACAAGATAAAATAAAAAGGTAACATTTATAAAGTTTACAAAACTATTTAAAACGAAAATATAAGTATATAGAAATATGGTTTCATAGAAAAGGAAAGTTCACAAAATAGTAATATTTAATTTAAATATATTTTAAATAACATAAAATATACTTTTGAAGTAATAAAATACTTCATATCTATATCTTCTTAGATGAAAAACAATATTTTTATATAATGTGATTCCATAAAAAAATTCACACAACTAATCTTGATATTAGAAAAAGAAATATTTTTTTTCCTTTAAGAAAATAATTTTAAACAATAATATATATATATATATTCAAAGTAATTATTTTTTGGTATATATCTATCTATTTTATTAGATGATTACATAAAATAATTAAGTAACATAAGCTGATATATGTTTAATTGATTTTTTTATAACTTGTATTCTTGAAATATATATATTTTTTGATTTTTTTAGTATATTTATTTGACTATAATATCTCACAATACAACAAAACATATAAATTCTATTTTACTTATATAATATCATTTCTCAAAAAGAATAACATTTTACTGCATATTTTAACAGATCAAAACTAAAAATAAATTTTAATAATAAACATTTTTTGATTGAATAACTACAATTATTTTAAAATATCATAACACTATATAATTTAACGAAGTAGATATAATATATTTTAATTTTTAAAATTATATGTTTTCTTAATAACTCTTTTGATTTTTAATTTTCTGTTTTTATGTTTGTGGAACTTAATATAACCATAATCAAAATACTAAAGTAAATATTGTAAATATTGTTATGTGTTCATAAGCTTCCAAAATATATTAGTTACTTATGTATGTAATTTAGAATCAGACAGTTTAGTTTTTATTTTTTCTTTCTAAGCACAAAAAATCTTAAGTTATACATAATTTTACTAGATATACTTATATTTCTAAGATAACAACCGGCATAAATGCAAATATGACAATTAATCAAAAATTTAATATATTTAGGATAAAAAAGATTATAATTGAATTCAAAGAAACAAATATAATCTAATATAGCCAAATGATAACTAAATCAACCGTAAAAACAATAAAACTGACAAAAATAAACATATCTAAAACTATATGTATAATTAAATTAATATAATATTATTAATATAAATTATACCTACAAATTATAAACTAATTTAAAATTTAAAGTAAATATCAATAAATTATTATAATATCTTTATTTTATAAATATTTATGTACGTGCATGAGCACGGGAAAATCACCTAGTAATGAAGTAAAAAAACAAAATGTTCAATAGCGTATTTTCATCAAGTGTTATCAATTAAAAATTACATAAAAATAAAATGAAAAAGTTAAAAAATTAACATGACATTCCTTTTCTTATTCAGTCCAGACACTTGTTAATTTGTGGTTCGATTATATTAAAGACACTTGCTTGACCTTACAAAAGACAATGAGACTCAGTCATCGTCTCCTTCCTTACATAATTTCTCAATTTCCCAAAACTCTTCAAAAGTCTCTGCTTTCTTGCTAAGTCTCTTTACTTTCTTCTCCAAACCCTTTCTCAAAGGCGAAGACTTTATCTCAAAAAATGGAGAAAGACAATGTTCCCATGCTTCCAGTTTCAGACTCATCATCTCGTACTAGGCCTTTCACTTCCAGGTCACGTAGTGTTACCCTCGCAAACACTTCTTCCACCATTGATGGATTTGACAGCTCAACTGTGGTGTTAGGCTACACGGGTCCTCTTCGGACACAGACAAGACCTTCTTTGGTTCAGATGAGTGGTCCTCTTTCATCTACTCGCAGTCCTGAGCCTCCTCCTACTTCCTCTCAGCCAGAGAGGTACCCTTCTTTTGCTGCTCTTGAACACAAAAACTCAGAGGAAGAGTTTGTCTTGAAACACGCACATCTCTTGAGATCTGGACAGTTGGGTATGTGTAATGATCCTTACTGTACCACTTGTCCTTCTTACTACAACCGCAAAGCTGCCCAAATCCCTACTTCTAGAGTTTCCGCTATTTTTGATTCCACTGTATGTTACTCTCACTTCACAATTTTAGCTTTGAGACTCTCAAGTAGATGTTTCTGAAACAAAGTTTTTTTTCTTTTTATTTTGGTAGTTCCACAATCATCTATATGATGATGCTAAAGGTTGGGCTAGGAGGTTTGCTACATCTGTTAATAGATACTTACCAGGAATCATGAATCCTCACTCCAAGTTTGTTCAGAGTTGGACTAAGTTTTTTGCCTTTTCATGCTTGCTGGCTATTTTTATTGATCCTCTCTTCTTCTTCCTCATATTAGTCAAACAGGTATGTGCTTTCCTTTAGACTTATCTCTTATCTTTTGGTTCTCATGTTTTGTATTGAGTACCCTTTTTTACAACCATCTCTCATATTTCAGAACGACAAATGCATTGTGATTGATTGGCCGATGGCTAAAGCATTTGTAGCTGTTAGAAGTGTAACAGATGTTTTATTCTCTGTAAACATTCTGCTTCAGGTGTGTTCCTTCTGCTTATGTTATCTTATAAGAAAACATGTTGGCTTCAAATGTTTATATCTTTTATGTATTGTTGCAGTTTCGATTGGCCTATGTAGCTCCTGAGTCTACGGTTGTTGGTGCTGGCCAGTTGGTTGACCATCCAAGAAAAATTGCTCGCCATTACTTCTTTGGAAAGTTTTTACTAGACTTGTTCATTGTGATGCCATTTCCACAGGTATTATAACGTTTAGAGTTTACAACTGTTTTCTTTTACAAAAATGGTAGCTGGAATATGTTCATTTCAACTTTTGTGTGTTTTGGTTACAGATATTGATATTATGGATAATACCAGCACAATTAGGCGCATATGGGGCAAACGATGCAAAGAACCTCTTACGCGCTGCAGTTCTTTTCCAATACATTCCCAAGTTATATAGGCTACTACCACTTCTTGCTGGACAAACACCTACTGGCTTCATTTTTGAGTCGGCTTGGGCTAATTTTGTTATCAATCTTCTCACTTTCATGCTTGCTGGTCATGTGGTTGGCTCTTGCTGGTATCTTTTTGGTCTGCAGGTATGGCAAAAGTCTCAATTCATGTAGTATTCACTTTAATCTAATATCTTTTATGTTGCTTGAATCACTTCTCTTGTCTATATATTTCTAGTGATTTATTGATTTTTCTCATTGCATGTTTCCTTTCTTTCTTTGTGTCTCTTTCAGAGAGTTAATCAATGTCTTAGAGATGCTTGCGGTGATTCTGATCGTACATGTAAAGATCTAATAGATTGTCATGCTGGAGCTAGTGGTGGGTTGTTAGGTGCGTGGAAAAATAATACGAGAGCCAGTGATTGTTTTCAAGAGGAGGGTGATTTTTCTTATGGAATATATTCGAAGGCAGTTACTCTCACCACTAAATCTAGCCTCTTCACTAGATACAGTTACTCTCTTTTCTGGGGTTTCCAGGTAACTTCCGTAACATATTATTGAACAACATTGTGACCTAGTTGAACAATGGTTTGGTATAGCTGGAACACTCTTAATGAATGTACATTCGTTTTAAAACTCCCAAAAGCAAATCAGCACGCTTGCTGGAAACCAAGTCCCAAGTTACTTCCTTGGGGAAGTCTTCTTCACCATGGGAATTATCGGACTAGGACTCTTGCTTTTCGCGCTTCTTATTGGTAATATGCAGAACTTCCTTCAATCTCTCGGTCGAAGGTGAATAACTCCATCATTGTACAAAGGAAGATGTCTCAAGACATGGTTTGGATTGTCTTTAAACCACAAAGTACTTACGTTGACTGTGTTTTGTCCATCTTAGGAATTTGGAAATGACTCTGAGACGGCGAGATGTGGAGCAATGGATGAGTCATAGACGGTTGCCAGAAGGTATAAGAAAGTATGTGGACTCTTGCCTTTAAACTTTGCTTCTTCTTAAGTTGAATTCTGAAGAATTACATTGTAATGTCACTAGCTAATATAAAGCTAACTGAATAGTTGTTTCTACATTTTCAGGAGGGTGAGAGAGGCTGAGCGGTTCAACTGGGCAGCTACTAGAGGAGTTAACGAAGAATTGCTATTTAAGAATATGCCTGATGACCTTCAAAGAGATATAAGACGACACCTCTTCATATTTCTCAAGAAGGTAAACTTCAGAGTCCATTTTCCTAAGCGTTGGCTCTCTCTCTCTGAAACGTCATCATGTGTTTGCAGGTGAGGATATTTTCGTTGATGGATGAATCAATCTTGGATGCTATACGTGAGAGGCTGAAACAAAGGACTTACATAGGGAGTAGCATGGTCTTGCACCGAGGAGGTCTAGTTGAGAAAATGGTATTCATAGTGAGAGGTGAGATGGAGAGCATTGGAGAAGACGGTTGTGTTCTGCCATTATCAGAGGGAGACGTTTGTGGTGAAGAACTTCTCACTTGGTGTCTCGAACGCTCTTCTGTAAACCCTGGTAAGCCCCCTTTTGCTAAGAGCTTTGTGGTCTATGTGTTTGCAACTCTCAAAAATTGTAACTGAAAATGTGATGCAACTTGCAGATGGGACGAGGATAAAGATGCCGACAAAGAGATTGGTTAGTAACAGAAATGTTACGTGTGTGACTAACGTGGAAGCGTTTGCTCTGAGTGTAGCAGATCTTGAAGATGTAACGAGCTTGTTCTCGAGATTCCTTAGGAGCAACCGTGTGCAAGGAGCCATAAGGTACGAGTCTCCTTATTGGAGACTACGAGCAGCTAGGCAGATCCAAGTGGCTTGGAGATACCGAAGGAGGCGGCTTCAGAGATTGTACACTGATCAGTCTAGTTACAGTCTTTAGGTTGTAATCTTCATTCTTGATGATGATGATATAAGCTTGGTGGTTATCAAATAGGTGGTGTTTATTACATGATAGCTTAATGCTTTACTCAATTCATCTTTTCACTGTAAATATATGAATCTATATTCAGATCACTCTCTCCTAATTCTAGACTGAACATCTCATCCGTAGTTACTTTCTAAATTGAAGAGTGAACAAATCTATATTGAAGATCAAATAAAAAACAAGGGCTAGTTTGCTGTATATTCATATACACATCACAAATTAAAGGTATAGCTTCTTCTTCTTTTTTTTAGCAACAGGTATAGCTAGTATATAAAATAAATATGAAGATAGTAACAAATTAAAAGAAAGGGAAATTGCCAGAAATAACACTTTCAAGATACCACTTTTCAACTTTACACTAACCAACTTTACCATTAAAATTTTAATAGTCAAAATACTATTAGAATTTAGGGTTTACAGTTTTGGGTTTAGGATTGATAGTTTAGGGTTTAGTGTTGATTTTTTAGGGTTTAGAGTTTACTTTTTAGGGTTTAGAGTTTAGGGTTTAAGGTTTAGAATTGATATTTTAGGGTTTAGGGTTAATTTTTAGGGTTTAGGATTTACTTTTTAGGGCCTAGAGTTTAGAATTAATGTTTTAGGGTTTAGGGTTAATATTTTATTTAATATTTATTTTATGTATATATATAAAAAACAATGATATAAGAGTCTTTTATCCTTTAATAGAATGTGTATTTTTGAAAATGTTCCTTTGTTGATGGTAAACATGAAAAGTGGTACCACCAAAGTGGTATAATTGAAATTCTCCCATTAAGAAATCGGAAGATGTTTTAAACCCTCAATCCAATAATAGAAATAAATGAACTTATACATTGATTAGTCTGTAAAGTGTACTTTTAAATAATACACGGCTTGTAAATAAAACTTTTGAGTTGTTTGATTAAGCTACATAATTTTAATATTATTTTTACATACTAAAATTGGTTTTCCATCCAACAGTTTAATAGAATTTGCTTTCTATCCATATCTAACTATATCTATTCTTTTGCATCTCAATACATAAAAATAATTATATATGATTGTGTATTTATAAACAAGGATAGTTACTTTTAAAAGATGTAAAGCAACTAAAATGAATAGCGTAAAAGAGAAATTATTTGATAAAAAGTAATTGAAAAAACAGGATCTGTGAACGCATGAGTGAATTAGGATACAACGGCAAATACATAATACTGAAAGTGTAATAAATATGATCATAGCCACTTTTATTATTATTTCTTTAGTTTTAAAAAAAAAAATCTGGTTGCTATCCTTAGTTCCAGAAAAAAACAGATAATTGAAAACATAAAATAAAACCTCTATAAATTAATAATATTGGAAATTGAAAATTTATTAATTTATAGAGATACTAATTTACTAAAGTTTCCTTATTTAGATTTTGTTATTTTAAGAAATGATTATTCTAAGATAAGAAAAATATTTGATTTTATTGTATAGATATTAGTTATGATTTTATGAAATTTGACATTTTATATTAATGTTATGATATTTTTGGTGTATATAATATATATATTGCAAAGAATTTAAATGTGGTTTTAGATATAATATTACTAAATCTCATCAAAAATATATTAAGTGTTAAAAAATATAAAGATAATTCATTGTGAATATAAAACAAACAATATAATGATAAGTTGTTATTTATATAAAATATGTATACATATAATTATTAATTTATAGTTTTAATGAGACCATATATTTATATAGAATTTTGTAAGAAAATTATTATCTTATTACTTTATCGATTTGTGTCAAATTTTAAAACGGCCCAAATTGGGACCGGAGAAATTTATTAATTTATAGAAGTTCTACTGTACATTTTCTTTGTAAGATTTGGGGCATGTGATCAAATTAGTCCAAATAATATGTTCTTGTGGAGGACCAGGTCTTGTCGGTTGTATAGTAAACAATATTTCATTTAGGGCAAGGGAAATAAACCGAATCTGAACTAAATCTGAAAATCCAAAAAAAAATCTAATCTGATTAAATGAATTTGAATTGAACACAACATAAATACCGAATAGAGTTGAACTAGTTACGTTATTTTGGGTTATAGACCCTATCCGAATTCGATGGATATCCCAAAGAATTCAAAAATTTAGATACCAACAAAAAATATATTAAATTTGAACTCAGTCCGAATAAATACTAAAATACTTTAGGATATTATCGAGTAACTAAATATATGTTATATAAATAATAAATTCAAATACTTAGTGTAATATATTCCTTCCGTTTTAATAAGATGCATATTTTAGTATTTTTTACACATATTAAGAAAATTTATGAATTTTAAATTACCAATGTATTATTTTTTGTAATATATTGTTTCCCATAACTTTTAATCAATAGGATTTCAATAAATATATTTTCAAATTTGTAATTTAACATTAAATGATACATTGAAAATGTGAAATATGTATCTTTTTGAAACAAAATATTTTCTCTAAAATATGGATTATACTGAAACGGATGGAGTATATTTTTGGTATTTAATCATGTTTATGTTTTGACAATTGCGTTTAAAATTTAACTAAGAATATATTTGTTTAGTTTTTAAAATGTTATTTATTTAAAAATTTAAATAGTATTTCTTTATAAATTTATATAAAGTTATTAGTTATTAACTTTAAATTGTTTATGTTTTTTTTACGACCACTTCTGAATCATGTATCAATTTTTTTGTTAGTGTTAATTATTTGAATTTGGCAAGTTTATGCACTAAAAAGTGTATTTTTGAATCATAAATAAATATTTGGGTAACCAAAGCCCAATGTATAACCAACCAGATACGAAATTAAAACATGTTTAACTGGATTTGCGATGTGTTACTATATCTGAACTGAACCCGAAAAACAAACATGAATTCGTATCGAAGAATAAAAATACCCGAATGAAGTTAAATTTTACATCCCCATAAAAATCAAAACTCGACTTACTTAAACTGAATTCGATTGTATACCCGAACGCCCAAACCTAATTCCACTAGTGTAGCTCATCCATGCTTCAACTGTATTTCAATAAATAAAGTGAAAATAAAGTGAAAATATTATTAACTTTAAATTGTTTATATATTTTTACGACCACTTCTGAATCATGTCATCAATTTTTTTGTTAGTGTAAATTATTTGAATTTGCCAAGTTTATGAACTAAAAGTGTATTTTTGAATCATAAATAAATATTTGGGGTAACTAAAGCCCAATGTATAAAATGTTTAATTGGATTTGCGATGTGTTACTATATCTGAACCGAACCCAAAAAATAAACTGAATTCGTATCGAAGAATAAAAATACCTAAATGAAATTAAATTTCATATCCCCATAAAAATCAAAACTCGACTGAACTTAAATCGAATCTAATTGTATACCCGAACGCTCAAACCTAATTCCACCGGTGTAGCTCATCCATGCTTCAACTGTATTTCAATAAATAAAGTGAAAATATTTTTTTGCTAAGAAAAATAAAGTGAAAATATATGGAAGCGTAACACCATAAAGGCTGATTAAGATTATATATAGTATTATTAGCATAATGTTATATCAAAGACTAATATCAGAGAGACATCATTGTCTTACTTTATAACAATGAGTGTTTTATTACAAGATATCAAGAACATAAAATATATATATATATACATGTAATGTAACATGCTAATAACGCGATCAAAATCAAACCCTTTTTCTACAACGAAGGAAACCCAAGGAGCTTGCAAGTAACGTTTGTCAAGCATCTGCAAAAAGATAAAGCGAAAGATGAAAACAACAAAAAGAAAGGAAGGATACATATATAAAAAACACAATATAAGAAAAGAAAAAATATTAAATTAATCAAGTGAGTACCATAAATAGAAGAGAAATATGGTGTACTCCTAAGAACCCGATCTTGTAATAAGTATCTGCGAGAGTTATATATGGCTCCAGTCGGATTGCCTCCAGGCTTTAGATTTCATCCGACAGATGAAGAACTCGTTAACTATTATCTGAAAAGAAAGATCAGTGGTCAAGAAATCGAGCTTGATATAATCCCCGAGGTTGATCTCTACAAATGTGAGCCATGGGACCTCGCAGGTATGTTATGTTACATTGTTCTCGTTTTTTGGTTACTAAGAAGTTCATGGCCGTTGGAATCATTATATTGCTATGAATTTATGATCTAATTGTTTGAAACTTTCAAATTTTTATGGAACTGTTAAGTATATTTATGTTACATTTTCTCTTTTCATAGTAACTAGGAAGTCTTGGTCTTTTGACTCAGTCTTATCGTATACTTTTATTGTTGTCTATTATATGATTTTTCAAAAACTTTTATGATGAATATATACAATTTTGAAAACTGTAGAGAAGTCGTTTCTACCAAGTAGAGATCCAGAATGGTATTTTTTCGGACCACGTGACCGGAAATATCCGAACGGGTTTAGGACGAACCGGGCAACGAGAGGAGGATACTGGAAATCGACAGGGAAAGATAGGAGAGTGACGAGTCAAAGCAGAGCGATTGGGATGAAGAAGACATTGGTTTACTATAGAGGAAGAGCTCCTCAAGGTATCCGTACTGATTGGGTTATGCATGAGTATCGTCTCGATGACAAAGATTGTGACGATCCCTCTTCCCTCCAGGTCATTGCTCAAATCTTTCATCACTCCATCTACTTCAAAAAACAATAGTATCATAGTTTAGTACTACGTAATTTGCATACATTCAAAGAATGAGAATTACGTGGAAAATATGCATGGCTAATTCCAACTTTAAAGAAAAACATATTGGTAATGATATAAAAACATGATTTCTCTATGTGATTTTGACCAATAAAAGGTGTTTAAGCCGATTTAATTCGTTTATTGCTGTAAGCTGACAAAAGCTTAGGGTATCACTTTGGCTTTACTGCAAGGAAGACAAAAGCCACATTAAATAATTACTCAAATAAGACAAATACTTTTATCCTTTTGTTTCTTAATTACATTCACAAAATATATTAAAGTTACATACTAAATATTTTAGTTTAAATGGTTTGACTGGTGGTGCAGGACTCGTATGCACTATGTCGGGTGTTCAAGAAGAACGGAAT